GCTTCGGCTTTCAGCGCGGCTCAGCTGAGCCGAGGCATATGCCTTCGGCTCGGCTGAGCCGCTCGGCCAAGTTCGGGAGCTGTACGGGCTATAGTGAATAGCCCGTACAGCAGCCCTTCGGTTCTACTGAACCGAAGGGGTCCTGGGGCCGAAGGTAGCCGAAGGATCGGCCGAAGCTACGGCGAGATCCTTCGGCTGCTTCGTGTCCAGAATAGACCCCTTAATATCCACATTGAGTAAGGAGATAGGCCAGTATAGTTACATAGTATTTGAGGTTGTATAAAGACATATGTCCATCAAGTCCTACCTATTGTGTGTGTGTGTGTGTGTATAGGTCCTCGAGGCATCTCATTCTTAAGATTACCTGTACCCCTGTATATTACGGTCTCTCAGGAAATCGAACAAAAGCTTCTTGAATGATTCCACACTATTTGCTGAAATCACTGCTTGTGGCAACGAGTTCCAGACCCTAACCGCTCGAACTGAGAAGAACCCCCTTCGCCCCTTGTGTTTGAATATTTAGTAGCCGTGTCTCATAGCTCTGGTCCTCCATCCCCCTAATGAGTTTGGTTGCCCTCCGCTGGACTCCCTCCAGCTCAAGGACATCCTTTCTATGTACCGGTGCCCAAAACTGCACCGCATACTCCAGGTGAGGCCGAACCAGTGATGTGTAAAGTGGCAAAATTATAGACTTATCCCTGCAAAACATTCCCTTCTTGATGCAGGACAGGATTCTGTTGATTTGCTTACAGCAACCTGGCACTGTAATCTATTATTCAGTTTATGGTCTACAATGACCCCCAAATCTTTCTCCATTTCCGACTTCCCTAGCGGCATACCCATAATTGTATAACCCATTTGCTTATTTTTGATCCCAAAGTGCATAACTTTGCATTTATTGACATTAAACCTCATCTGCCACATAGTTGCCCACTCCCCTATTTTATCCAGGTCCTCCTGTAATGTTATACTATCTTGGTCCGTTTCTATTACCCTCCCAATTTTGGTATCGTCAGCAAACACTGAGATATCGTTTATTGATACTCTCTGTACCCGTTCGTTTAGCCAGTTCTCTATCCATGTACACACCCTTCCATCTATGCCCATAGACCTCAGCTTGTATAGTTTGACCAGTCACTATGGTCCTTGTCTGCTTTGGGGAGCATTAGTACGTTCGCAGACAGCATGGAAGACGAAAAGCCATCGCCACGCTTGACCCAGTTAAATAGGCGAGTGAGATGAGAAGTCACCACAGTAGTAAAATAAAGAGTTTGAATCATTCATAATTTGTATGTTCAGAATTTTACTTTAAATTAAACAGAGTATCAATCATCAGAAGCAAAATGTGTGTTAATTAAAGGGTCAGTACACTGAAAAATTGGATTTTTGACTTACTGTAAAATCCTTTTCTTGGAGTGCATTAAAGTACTTCTGTGACGTGGGTTACACGGCTGCCTACAGGAGAACTGTACACAGGCAAACAAAAAAAGCTGTTGGTCAGTTACGTATAACCCCTCTCACTTCCATCATGCTTCAGGATTTGTGACAGCAACAACTTGGCATAAAAGAACCGGGGGCTGCTTGCAGCTCAGGGAGCCGCCTGAAGGATGTTACGTCTAAAGCTGGGACCAGCTGAGGCCTAAACATCCACCTAGTAAAACTTAGGGAACATGTGAAAAGAAGACCAGGTGGCAGCCTTGCAAACCTGGGAAACAGATGCCTCAATCTGGAAAGCCCAAGAAGCACCTACTGATCTAGTAGACTGTGATTTGACAGGAAAAGGTGGAACCTTATCCTAAAGCTTATAAGCTTGGATAATGAGTTGCCAGAGCCACCTAGAATTGGTTGGATGAAAGGCAGGTTGCCCCATATGAGAACCTTCAGGGATGATGAAAAGAATCAGTCAGCCTGAAAGAAGAGAAGATGTAGTTGAAAGAAACTTGAAAAGCTTGTACCACATCCAAACAATGGAGGGAAATCTCCTTAGGATGTAATAGAGCAAGACAGAAAGATGGAAGTAAAATATCCTGGTTTATGTGAAAAGAAAAAAAAACACCTCAGAGAGAAAAACTTGTCTCTGTGTAGAACAAGAAAAGCTTCTTTGCAAGACAAGGTTCCAACCACTTGCCTCGCAGAGGTGATGGCAATGAGGAAGGCATCCTTGTAAGCTACAGTTGGCACTTTGAACCTATCCCTGAGGATTTGATAGATACTTGTATTATAGCATAAGCTTTGCTAACAGTCTTGCTTGATTAAGCTAGATTTACAGAAAAAAATGAGAGAATGCACTGTTCATGGCTTCCTTCAGCAGATCACATTTCTGAAGGTTTAGTAATTTGGTCATTTACCCAAAAGCCTAGGTTTTCATGTGATCAGCACTAGAGTGAACCTGGAGCAGTTTGCTCTTAGGGAATAGTTAATATTTTAGGCCTTCTTTTATTCTTGGTGTATCACCCCAACAAGATTTACATAACTTTAAGTCAACATGTGAGTATAGATCCACTATAAAAGAAACAACAGGGATAAGGGAGTTACTGCAATCAATCACCAGAAACACCTTACCGATTATAATAATAGGGCTGATGTATGAAAAGTATGCTATAGGAAACATTTTTTCTTGCTATTACTAATCCCTTAGCAACCAACTATCCTTTGTGCAGCCCAGGAATGAAAATGAAACGAGGATTTCAACTGGTTGATATGAAAAACAATTTGTTTCCCTACAATGCATTCCTCATTAATCCACCCCACTATGTATCAATATGGTTGATTCGTTACTTTTATTGCTTTACAAAGACTCAAAACCAAGACGCACAATGAATGGCTTGAAAACAAAAAGGTTCATGAGGCACTTTTGAGGTGCTAACAACTGTAAGTACTGAGGGCTGAAATGTACCAGTAAGCACAGTTAACTGATTTTAAAAAGCATTAACTGTACAGTATTTTGAGAAAGTAGCATTATCAACATGGTACGTGAATTACATTTAATACGATGTCACAATTACATATTTAATGAGGTGTCTGGAAGGAGGCAAAAAAAACAAAACCTTGGGCAACTATTGTTAATTTTACTAAGAATCCATTCCAACCTCCCCACCTTGGGTTGACAGCTTATTTTTTGGATTAAAAAAAGCTACTGAGGGGAATTTATCAAAACTGGAGCAGATACAATCTGGAGCAGCTGTGCACAGCAACCAATCAGCATCTCTCTTTCATTTTCAAATCTCAACTGAACAAACTGAAGAGAAAAGCTGATTGGTTGCCATGGGCAACTGCTTCTGATTGTGTTGGCTCCAGTTTTGATAAATTCCCCTTTTGGTATATTAATCTTAAGTAATGGTGACTTTGCATGATAGTTATCGATGGTAATCTTCCACACACAATTCATGTTCCATTGACATTGGTAAAGTCTTTGGGATAAAAAGAACATTTCAAAATCTCTTTCTTGGCCTTAGAGATAATTATACATGTTAATAATTATACATGTTAAGCAAGTTGCTTCAAAGATGGTTCTTTTCCAGTTTGTTCATCTTTAATTGTATGTAGGATTCTGCATCCTATTAGTTGTCTGCAAAGAAGACCTCTTCAAAAATGTGTGGTGCACAAAATTGTCCCCAATCATCTAGATGCAGCTTTAGAATTGATTTTTTAAGGTGTACTTACCTGTCACAGTCGGTGTGACTTTTAATTAAGCAGCTATAAATCTGCTTCTCAGTTTGTAGTACCTCACTTAGTCTTGTTTTGTTTGCAATGAGTTCTTCAAGTAACTTCCAGAGCTGTTAAGGACAATGAAAAACACGATATGAGAGAATAATACAAAGTAAACCCACAAGGTCCTGCACTAATCTCCATTTTTGAACAGACATTTACAAATGTTTCTTAAGTAAATACACATAATTAGCTAAACTAAATAAAGACTAAACAACAGCAAAACAACAGAATAATAATAACAACATATTTAATACAAATCCATGAGAGGCCTATAACTGGAGAATTCAGGAAATAATAAATAAGTACAGTTAAGAGGTTCTTAAAACATGCTGTGCTTGTGACAGTTCCTTGAACAATTTAAAGGAGAACTATGAGGTGAGTGCTTTTCACTCACCTCATAGTTCTAGGCGACCTGTGACAATGAGACACTCACAGGTCGGCTCAGTAGATCGGTAAGTGAGCGAACACATACCGGCGTTCGCTCACTTCTCGATCCTGTCACAGCTCTCTACCGTGACAGGGGAGGGGCTGGATTCCCCACTCCCCGCTCTGATCCTCCAGCGCTGAATGGCGGAACGGACGCGGATACAGCTGGCTCTGCCTCTACATAGGCAGAGCCAGCTGTCACTCACGCAGCTGGGCGGATCCAGACATAATTGTCGGGATCTGCTTCAGCTGCGGCGTCTCAGTATACCGCGCGCAGTAGCTCGCGGTATATTGAGCTTAGGGTGACGGGAAGACGCTAGTTTGTGTCCTCCCGTTACCCTAAGGAGAACTATGGGGAAAAGCCTTAACCCCATAGTTCTCCTTTAAACTGACCAAACAGTGACCAGGAAGGGAGGGCAGTCGGAATTTACGAGTGGCTATAACCGCACCATTGTGGTGACTTTATGCAAACCTGTCCCTGCCACTGCACTTGCGTTCTGAAGTTAACACAGGACTGTGACTACTGGCACAGAGCTATGAAATGTGATTATTCAGATAGGGATTTTTGCCAGAAGAATAACGTAATACCAAAAGCTATAACATGCAGGGGTACCTGCCATTATTCTTATATTGCATGCAGGGTGCGATTCTCAGTATATGTTATTATGTCTTTGTGGACACTGCAAGGCACCTCTCTTGCATGCAGTAAGTAATTTGTGGCATCTCTTCTGTTTGCCAAGTGCACTGCACAACTTCCTATGTTTGCCCAACATATTGTTTACTGTGTGCATTACGTCCCACCCCTTAAACAATATATTATAGATGTAAACCTTCAGAGCCATATTTTTTAGACAGTGAGATAGGAGTGACATAGAGAGTGAGACTAACAGAGGCTATAACCCTTCTCTACTCTACTCCACTCACCGCCCCATCCCCCCATCACTTTAATGAAAAACAATATATATTGTAAAACAAGAGGGGCCACAGTATTCATTTTTACCTCCAACTGTACAGCAAGTGAAGTCCTGATCTTAGGGAGGAAAGCCATATTGTACCTAGCACAACATTTCTGCAATGGAATGGATACTAAATAAATACGTAGAACTTACTGTAGACACCTTTTGAGTGTGTCTAAGTTTTTCCTGGTAGGTACAGTACATGGAGGTCATTTTCTTGTTTGGACTGAAAATGTGCTGGTTAAGAAGCTCCACAACTGGTTTGTCCCCTCTATCATCCAAGTTCGTTTGAAGGTCCTATTTATGAAAAAGCAGTTAGAATTAAACTCTGTAAAGAAAAAAAATAAGAGCTATTATCACCATTTTACAAATTCTTTTTCCTATAGGACCTGTACATTTTTTGTTTTAGCTAGCTTTAAACCAAATTTTAGATTCTGTCTGAACACATTATGCTTTATACATGGTAGCAAATCTGAATATGGGTATTTTTTAAAGGTTTTGTTTTGTAAATTCTTTATTTCCAGATTTTCAAATAACAATCACTAGGAGTACTTTAACAGAGGAAAGAAAGAAAAAACACATTTCAAACATATATGTGCATGTGCAAACAAGATTACGAGTCTGGCGATGTAAATAAACAGACATATCATTATCACGACAAGTACAGTACACATAACATTAAACAAAGTTATTACTAAGAGAAATTGTGTATATTCACTTAATGGTTTAACAAAAAATCAGTAAGACGCCCCTGAGCAAGACATTTATGTCTTCTAGTACATAAATGTGGAAGGATAAGAAAAAAAAAAGGGCAGGAGGCAAGGAGCATCTAGAAATGAAACAAGAGAGAAGGGAGAACATCAAGTTGGAGATAGAAAAGCACAGTAGAGAAAAGGAGAACCCCCCCCCCATTCAGACTAGGGGTGTGTATGAGTATCAATAACCCTTCTATGGGGGCATTTTGCATGAGGGAGCTATAATCAGCGCGCGCACGGGCAGGAAAGACCCGCTCGTTTTTACAGCCGTTAACGGCTGTTTCACATACAACCGATCAGCGGCACTATAGCCGCCGATCGGTTGTATGGCGCGATTTTGTCGTGACCCCGTCTTTTATATTTTACCAAAAAATTGGGTAATAATAAATGTTTTAGAAATTAATATAGGGGAAACAGTTTTAAAAAAACATTCTGTAAATTTTACTTAATATAGTAAAAAATTAAAACCGCAGTGGTGATTAAATACCACCAAAAGAAAGCTCTATGTGTCCCCAAAAAAGGGTATAACATTAATTTCAGTACAGCGCTGCATGACGGAATAAATGTCAGTCAAAGTACCGCAGTGCTGAATACTGAAAAATGGCCTGGATGGGAAGGGGGTTTAACACACCGGACTTCAAGTGGTTAAAAAAAACCCATATCATTTCCTACTTCTAAATATATAAGGATTCCTCATATTGTGGCCTTTATATATGATCCAAGCTATAAAATCTAAAGCCAAAGATTTCTCCTTCATTTAATGACTTTTTGTTTATTTCAATGTTACTTTGCAATGCAAACAGATAGAAATAATCTGTATAAATGATAACCAACACATTAACATAAAATTTAGACTGGCATCTCAAGAAATAAGGTCAGGTACACCTTCATGTTATGATTTGTAAACGATTTTCTTTGGAAATACCTGAAAATACCCTTTCTCTACATCCTGTAGTCAATGAAAATAAATAAAGTGCTCTATGTGCTCTATGCTAGCATAGTTGAGTAACAGCCACACCCCTCATCATAAATGTCCTCACACAGCCATTTATTTCTAGAGAAGGAGAGGGTGTGCCCAGCCAGTTATGTTAGTAAATGAGTACTGAGTGCACTGGGTCTTACTCCTTAATGGATTGCACAATCATATTCTGGACACCCTGCACAACTGCAGAAAATGGAGGTTGTTACTACAATGTCTGACTGTTATCTATTTCTGTGACTTCATATAGGCATTAATAGCAGGGTTACACTTTACACTTTTTATTATTATTATACAGGATTTATTGAGCGCCAACATTTTTTATTACGGTGGGCACCTGATCCAACCTCCCCCCATACACCTCTCTAGCAATAATTGCATGTGATAGTGATCTACTGCCTGCTGCTGCCTTTGCCTGGAACTAGAGCTGCAACAGTTAATCGATTTAGTCGATTAAAATCAGAACTGAACATTAATGGATTATGTCACTGAAGGTTTTAGTGTATCATTACTATCATCAATAAACTATGAACTTCCATTTCCCTTTCCATGGTCAAATGCCATCATCCTTATTAATTTTATAAAGAATAATAAATGCAATTCTGAAATGGCAGGAACGTCAAGCTTTGGATCTCAAAGTTTGAAAACTTAAATACATATTTTATAAATTACCTTAATTAGATCTTCTTTAATCTGAATGTTTCTAGTGCAAGTGTCTATATCGGTGGCTTGATCCCGCAGTTGTTCGTTTTGCTTCATGATGATAGATTGTAGGGCAGACACTTCCAACTGTTTAAACAAGATTATTTTTCTAATTTTATTTTAACTTCAGCATAAATATGACACGGTAAACTATTTCAGACAGTATTGAAAATCCCAAATGAAAACTAATAGCATTCAAAGTTGGCAGACACAATTGTAAAGGCATTATTCTTACTGATTCTCGGGAAAGGCAAAAAGAGTGGAGTATTTGCATAGCACAGTTCAGACATAAGCAGAAAAGAAAGGCGTATGAAGAAAGAAAAGGGTATAGGTTAAGGGAAGGAAAGGTGAGAAGACAAGTGCAAAAATTGACAGCAGGTATTATAAGGCAGCATACACCAATTCACACATTCCACATGATTTAATATAAAAGAGTTTGAATCTTGGGTGAAAGTTGTGTGAAATTTGGGTTAAAGCATTGATATATAGATCCCTTAATATGTATGTAAAGCCAAAACTTTTTTTCTTAAGTTTTATACAGATTAGACAATGATTAAACGCTGTTCAGGTTTTCTTTTTTTTTGCTCTTTGTTTCCCATCAGGGACTTTTCCTTTCACTTCCTATCTCAGAGATACAGCAGGAACTAAGAGAAGATCAAGTGTATATCCCCTCTTAGGCAGTTCTTACCAGAACAGGTTTACCAATTGGAAGATTTTCCTTCACCCTTTTTTTCCTGGGACAACTCAAACATTTAAAGGGTTATCCACAAAAGGGTGGCGAGTTTGGAGAAGTGAACAATCTAGGACAAAATAGCAGATTTGGAAACATTCTCCAATTCAGCTCACTTTCCAGTAGAGCTGCAACAATTATTCGATTAAGTTGATTAAAATCGATGATGGAAAACGTTGTCAACGTTTTCCATCGTCGATTCATCGGCTAAAATTAAAATTTCCCGCTCGCTGCTCACGACCGCCGCTGCACGCCGCTCACGCCACACCCACGTTGGTTAAGCCGCTCGCGCCACGCCTACTCCGGTAAACCTGCTCACGCGACGCCGCTTACGCCACGCCCACCGCACACGCTGAGGACATGCATCTGGCCCTCTCCTCCTGGTGAGCTTCCCCAACAACGCCGCTGCCGCCGACAACACCGTCATTCAAGGTAAGTTGAGATCTTTTTAATGTTTCCTGTTTTGTTTTTTTTCTAAAGCGGCACACTGTAGAACACCAGCAGCTATAGAGGAACAACAAATCCCAGCAATAATACATTAAACAGCCTGTATAATGTATTATTGCTGGGATTTGTTGTTCCTCTATAGCTGCTAATGTTCTGCAGTGTGCAGATGTATTATACATTGGTTTTCTGCATTGCATTGTATTGTGCATGGTGTTCTGCATTGTATAATTCTGTAGAGCTGCAACAATTATTAGATTAAGTCGATTAAAATCGACTTTCGATTTGTCGGATAAAATTTAAATTTCCCACTCACGCCCGCCTGTTCGCGACTCCATACACGAGTTACACTATACACGCCACGCCCACACGTCGCTTACCCGGCCACCGCACAAGCCGGACACACGCCCGCAGAGCACGCCGCTGCAGCGACTTACAAGGGTTCAGAAACAGGTAAGGGGGACCTGTTTTAATGTTTCCTGTTTCAAAAAAAAAAAAGCGGCACACTGTAGAACACCAACATCTATAGAGGAACAACAAATCCCAGCAATAATACATTAAACAGCCTGTATAATGTATTATTGCTGGGATTTGTTGTTCCTCTATAGCTGGTGGTTTTCTGCAGTGTGCCACTGTATTATACATTGGTATTCTGCATTGCATTGTATCGTGCATGGTATTCTGCATTGTATAATACAGCGGCACAATGCAGAACACCAGCAGCTATAGAGCAAATCCCAGCAATAATATATTAGGCAGCCTGTATAATGTATTATTGCTGGGATTTGTAGTTCCTTTATAACTGGTCAGTGGTAATCTGCATTGCGCAGTATAATCATTATACAATGGAGAATACCACCAGCTATAGAGGACTACAAATCCCAGCAATAATACATTATATACAACGCAATTATTATTATTATTATACAGGATTTATATAGCGCCAATAGTTTGCACAGCGCTTTACAATATAAGGAAGACATTACAGTCACAATACAATTTAAGACAAGATGGTAAGGAGGCAATGCAGAATACCAGCAGTTACAGAGGACTACAAATCCCAGCAATAGTACATTATAGTATAATGTTGTACTATAGCTGGCATTTGTTGTATTCCTATATAGCTGCTGGTATTCTGCATTTCGCCGTATAATCATTATACAGCGCACTGCAGAATACCACCAGCTATAGAGGACTACAAATTGCAGCAATAATACATTATATACAGCGCAATGCCGAATAACCCCAGCTACAGAGGACTACAAATCCCAGCAATAGTACATTATAGTATAATGTACTATTGCTACATTCCTCTATAGCTGCTGGTATTCTGCACTGCGCCGCTGTATAATGTACTATATTGCACACCACACTCTTTTTTTTACTTCTACCGCGCCAAGCTTGCTCTCGTGATGGACTATAATCTCAATAGAAACTAGTAGTCCATCATTGGAGCCTTTTTTGTTTGTTTTTTATCCGATTAATCGAACTTAATAATCGGCTAACTAATCGATTATGAAAAAAATCGTTAGCTGCAGCCCTACTTTCCAGTTCAGCTATTTTGTCCTAGATTGTTCACTTCTGCCTGCTCCAAACTCTTAACCCTTTTGTGAATAACCCTGTAAGGCTTTCCGATCACTTTCTGTACTGGAGACAGTGGTCACCAGGACCAATGGTGAGTTTAAATCTGAATCTCCTCAGTGGGGTCACAGACAACAGTAAAAACCATACAGAGGTTCTGACCCTTCCACATTCTATCGCAAACAAAAAAGTGATGGTTTTACAACTTTAAAGCTCTAATTCCAGCCAAAGGTATTTATTTTGTTTCATATGCAACATCATGTTAGAGCCTTGCAAAATAAAGTGTATGTAAAGTCAAAACTTTCTAGTTTTCGTTTTTAATATAGTAGGCAATTGCAACAGGTTTACCATTTAGAAGATTTCCCTTCACCTCCTGTTTCTGTGACAGTTAAAGTTTGTCCATTCTTGACAGGGGTCTAAGCCAAATGATGATGAGGATATTAAACAAGAAAAAGGGGGGCAAAAGTATATAAGGCTAGGGCTACACGGGACACTTCTAGTAGCTCAGTCATGCTATTAAAATCTCATTTTAGTTTTGCTTGTATTGTATTACTTTTTATATAAGTTGTTACACAGGAGCTTTGACTGGTTTCTACTGTGGACTTCCAGATGACTACTGGATAAAGTAGAAATAAATAAGTCAGAAGGAACCAGTAAAAGCTTCATGGCCCTCATAAGTTTAACAATCCCAGAAGTGCCAGTTTCCAAGTGGTCTTTAAGAGGGTCATTTCTACTGAATGGAGTAGTGTTTAGTGGCACAAGCAGGTCTTCATTCAGGGGTATGGCTTTTCTTACTAACTTAGGTATAGTTCACATGATCCTGTGTTCAGTACATGTCAGACAATTTCCCATTGCTATGAAATGTTTACAAGGATGTGAGAGTCTCTGGTTTTCCTTAGACCAGCATAGAATATTTGTATTAAATATTATAGAAATTAATTATAGAAAAAAACAGCACAGAATAACACAACAGAGATAAATGCTGATAATACAAGAGTTAATGATATAGCTAAACAGACAGTTAGGGCCAGTTCACACCATCCTGAGTGCGTTCCAGCCTGATTGTGGCTGGAATGCACTGGATCGCATTCCGGCCGCCTCACTTTGTTTTGGGGCTGGAGGGGGCAAGGTGGTGCATTGAACTCAATGGCACTACAGGCACGCCCTTCGGCTGCAATGCGATCGGCAGCACAGGAATAGGTGGCACATCAGTGGCTGCATTCCAGTCTAGAGCTGCAGCTAACGATTATTTTCAAAATCGATTAGTTAGCCGATTATTAAGTTCGATTAATCGGTTAATCGGATAAACTATAAAATAAAGTTTAAAAAATGGCTCCAGTGATGGACTACTAGTTTGTATTGAGGTTGTAGTCCATCACAGGAGCAAGCTTGGAGCGGTGGAAGTAAAAAAAAAAAAAAAGATAGTGTGGTGTGCAATATAGTGAAATGGAAAGTGTAAAATTATACAGCAATGAATGCAGAATGGCACCGGCTATAGAGGACTACAAAACCCAGCAAAAGCACATTATACAGCACAATGCAGAACACCGCCAGCTATAGAGGAATACAACAAATCCCAGCAATAGTACATAATAGCTGGCGGCATTCTGCATTGCGCTGTATAATGTACTATTGCTGGGTTTTGTAGTCCTCTATAGCTGGTGGTATTTAGCATTGTACCACTTTATAATGTATTATTGCTGGGATTTGTTGTACTCTTCTACAGCTGGTGGTATTCTGCATTGCGTTGTATAATGTATTATTGCTGGGACTTGTAGTCCTCTATACAGCGCAATGCAGAATGTCACCAGCTATAGAGGAGTACAACAAATCCCAGCAATAGTACATTATACATACAGCGTATAATGTATTGCTGGGATTTGTATTCCTATGTATAATATACAGCACAATGTACCATCAGCTATAGAGGAATACAAATCCCAGCAATACATTATACAGCACCATGTGTGGGAAAGTGCAGTCTTCCAGCAACGTGCTTCTGAGATCGGACCTGTCTATCAGCAGCTGTCATGGGCAGGAAATGTGCGATCGTGGAGCGTGGATGCGAGCAGGTCTGGCAGCGGCGAGCGGGTCTGGCAGCGGCGAGCGTGAGGTGGGGAGGAGGTGCGGCGCACAGCGTGTGGAGCTGTGAACAGGGCCAACTGATCGGAAGCCGATTAATCGATTATTGAAAAAGTTGACAACTTTTTCAATAATCGATTATAATCGATTATGTCGATTAGTTGTTGCAGCCCTATTCCAGTCCAGTCAGGAAAAGTAGTGCACGTACTATTTGCCACACGTTCCCGTGCGGTCGAAGGGCATGGCTGCGGTGCCATTGAGTTCAATGCACTGCAACACCCCCTTCCCACCCCAAAACAAAGTGTGCCGGACAGAATGTGATCCAGTGTGTTCCAGTCACAATCAGGCTGGAACGCACTGAAGATGGTGTGAACTAGCCCTTAAGGCAGATTATATTTACAGACAGTATAACATCAGAGGTAGAGATTAATGTAGATTATTAAATTGGGTATAAAATAAGTGTGGTGTGCACAGACTGCTGTTTTATCAGTCTGATACAGCATAAGAGGAATAATTTTTTCAAACCAATGGATTTATTTCAATATCAGTGCTGTCCCCCTACATGACAACTACCTCTGCGTACATGGTGAGATTGTTGTAAAATAACGTGCATCCTCCATCCATATCCTTCAGCAAATGGCCACCTTAAGGCTGTCCATTCATTGTGACATTTGATATGATTGATATGGTTTAAGCATCACTGCAGATCATGGCATTCATGGGATTTCAAAAAGTCTTATTCTTGGTTTGCACCTTTTGTTTAGTATTAATTGTATTTATAATTTATAATTCAATTAAATAAAATCCTCTCGCAGCAGAATTTGTCAGGCCAAAACCAAAAATTAATTTTTCCCACCTTTTTTATTTATTTATTTTTATATGTGAGGACAGCGCAATTTCTTCTTTTTTTTTTTTAACATTATTTTAAAATTATTTTCTTTTTTGTTACTTTATTTCTGAAGGAGGGGTATAGGAGCTGCGGGGATTAGGTGTGGAGGAGTCCCCATAATACAGCATTATGCAGACAGTAGTGTATATTGCAGTCTGTCTCTCTCCACCAGCACGTTAAGAGGGGGCTGTAGATTTTGGAGAACTAGCACTCTGACTGCAAAGTCCTGCTCACCTGCTGGGAAGTGATCACCGGCTATCAGTACAGACGCTGTTGTGATACCAGACTGACACTCCGATACATGCAGAATACTAGGGATAGGGATGACTATCCATGGCCTCCATTGTGCGGCTAGTCAGGTCTCCCCCAAGCACCAGGCAGTATTGATGCCGGGAGGATCACTGCCACACACCACACCTCCACCTCCGCTTTTGCGGGGAAGAGTTCTCCCCACAACTGGGCACAGGCTGCAAGCTTCTATGTCCCGTCCAATCCCTGTGAGAGCAGCAGGGATTGGAGGCAACACAGAGCTGATGAAACACTGACTCCGAGTAGGAAGGGGAAACACAGGAGATCCAAATCAACTAATCGATAATGAGAATCATTGACAACAATTCTAATTATCGATTATTATCGATTAAATAATTTAGTTGACTCAGCCCTAAGTATGACCACTTTAATTGTCACCTAAAAAGTTTGCATGTTCAAATTCAGTAGAATTTATTAAAAACATGGGTCAAGTAACCTCGTTTGAGGCCACATGCCGGGGTTAAATGTCACCACACACTATACAGCATTAAAATAATAGGGCCAGTAAGAAATACTGTATGGCAAGGTTGTCCCATGTGCAAGAAAAGAAAAAGAGAACAGAGTGTAGAGCAGTTAAGCAATGCCTCTTTTTCGAGGGAAGGGGGTCGAGGGGGGTGCAGGGAGGGGTAGAGGGTGAGGTGCTTTGGCTACGGATAGAGGGAGGGGGAGGTGTCCATGTGGAGGAACAATTAATCCTGTTCAAGGGGTTGGTAAAATGTATGTTATTAGAGACAGTCCCTGAACTGAGTGAAGCTTAATGTATAAAAGCTATTCATATGGTCCAAGTGGAGACATATTGTTTGAATCTGTCATGTAAATGGGCTGTTAGTTCCTCAGTGCGTTGAAGGTGGGTGATTTTAGTGGCCCATTTTTTATGGAGGGGGAGAGGAAGATCTCCAATGCCTCAGGATCACGGCCCTGCTCGCTGAGGTGAGTTAACTGAGTTCATCAGGACTTTAGGGCCCATGACCTGTGCGTAGATAGTGAAGAAGTTTGCCCAGAAGGCCAAGATGGGGGGGCATGACCACCAAATGCACAGCATTGTCCTTTTTCCTGTGCAGCAGTGCCAGCATTATTCAGGAAGAGTGGAATATTTGCCTTACAGTGGAGGATAGGGGTGCACCCCGATACAGGTATGCGCAATACTGGGCATTTTCAGGAGTACTTGGCGCCGCAGTTTGCAGGAAGGGGACCTCGGTAGCCTTCTTGTGAACCGCAGCACTTGTTTACAGCGCCGGCCGCACATCTCCTTCTCCTTACTGAAACCACGTGCCCACAAGACCAACCAGACCCCCTTTGAGACCCTGCACAACCACCTGAGACCCTGCACAGCCTTCCCAGACTCTGCACAGTCTTCTAAGACCCCGTACAGTCGTCTGAGACCCCCGCACAGATACCTGAGACCCCACACAGCCCTCCTAAGACCCTGCACAGCTCCTGAGACTCCCCAATCCTCCTATGACCCCACACAGCCACCTGAGTACCCGCACAGCCCCCCTGAGACCCCTAACAGCTCTCCTGAGATCCTCTGCTTGAGACCTGTAGCTTCATATTATTCTGCATTGCTGAGATTTATAGTCCTCTATAGCTGGTTTCCATTAGTCATTGCTGTATAATGTATTGCTGGGATTTGTAGTCCTCTATAGCTGGTGGTATTCTGCATTAATGTATAATGTGTTACTGGGATTTGTAGTCCTCTAAAGCCAGTGCCATTCGGCATTGCTGTATAATGTATTGATGGGATTTGTAGTCCTCTATAGCTGATGATATTATTCTACATTGCAGTATCATGTAATGCTGAGATTTGTAGTCCACTATTGTTGGTGGTATTATGCATTGCTGTATAATTTATTGTTGAGATTTATAGTCCCTCTACAGCTTGGAGTCAGTGGCAGAACTACAAGTGGCGCAGCGTTGGCAGCTGGAACCAGACCCTGGAACTTCACCACTGTCCTAAAATCATTAGTCTATATTGTTTTGGAAAAACTGTCACATGACACTAAAAAAGGAGTGGTAGTGTACTCTTGACTGAGGAGAATATAATTGCATTGGGAGATGATGTGGGTGAGGGTTTCAGATTGCAGGCACAGAGAAGGGCAAGAGATCTCTTGAAATAAATCACTGTCCTGTTCCTGATTAGCTTAGAGAGCTTCATAACCCGCTTTTGTATACACCCTATTAACCAGAACAATGTTTACATTTATGCTATGGGCCTGTTTATTTGACAGTGATTTTTTTCATTACTTGAGGCGGCAAAGTAATACATATATCGTTTTTCTTAAGACAAAAGGACAGGATGCACTATACATGCCCTGTGTACTTTTGATAAAGTTTGTTCAGGTGTGTCTCCAGTGTCCACAACTAATTAACAAATAAATACATGCACCTCATCAAAATACACACAAAAGTAACATAATTTAATACCTGATACTCTCTCATTTTTCTTAATACAATTCTTAAGTCTTCTTGAGCTCTAACAAGATCTGTCCTTAGGCTTTCTGTTCTTTCGTTTTCACTCTCTTTTAAATAGAAAACAGACCCATCAGGTAACCAGACATTTGAATTATCTAAGTGGTATACATATAAAAAACAAATATGACATGCTCCACTTACACTGTGCACCAAGCAAAACAAACAAAGCAAAACTTTTATTAGCGACTAAAATCCCATTTAATTTTTAAAATACACCACTATATTCCTAGATGTGGGTACTACATATTTGTCTTATTTTCTTGCATTAGCATCCTATTGCTCGCTCAATCTATCTCTGTATTTATTACCCAACCTTCTCCTATAATCTGGTCTCTTGAGAAAACTTTTTGAAGAAAACAGTTTGCCACCCTAAACCTTTTCATAGTCCTTAAATCATGTGCAAGCAGTGCTTGCGCAATTATCCCAGCCTCATTGCAAACTTCTACCTATGGGAAATCCCCTCTGTCCCAGCCTGCTCTCACTATGCAGATTTGGGACAAAGCTGCCCATCTCTCCAGTATTACAACCACCATACTGGCACCACTTTACTATTTATATCAGTGATGCCAACAGCAAAATATCAATATGTTCTGTTATTTACTTTATACAGGATTGAGAGATTACCTTTGCATCTCTTTCTGGTGGCCATGTAATTCATTAAATATTCACAAACAACTAAAGAGCTCAGATGTAAACTATGGGCCATCTTTCTTTTGAATCCATTCATAGCTTTATAAAAGCTGAGCACATCTTTAAAGCTAAAATCTAGGTAAATATAAAAATACCTTTTAATCCAGTGATATTTTATTAAGGAAAAGACTGTTTTTTCCACACAACATCTCTCTGGATATCACACTCTTGCAATCCCCCTGGAAACCAATGCTCTCAAAGTAATCCGCCACGAAGCACTGTAATTTAATGGGGTCCTTATTGCATTGCACAGTGACATGCATCTAACATTGAAAGAAGGAAAGAGCAGAGTGATGACGATGTTATCATCACTGTAATGGTGGTCATTCACTGTTCAATCCCAGGCTCAAGTGAGTTCAAGTTTAAATACTGGACTGCAGTTTAGTCTGCAAAGTAGTACAAAGGCCACCTGAACCTGGCAATGCTGTTTAGTAAGCGGCCTGGATCTCAAGACAGGTTACACTGCATTACATATCTTTTGGCAGTACAAACAGTTTACATACCGTATTTGCCGGCGTATAAGGCGACTGGGAGTATAAGACGATCCCCTAATTTTCCACTTAAAACATAGGTTTTGGGCTATACTCGTCATATAAGACTACCCCACTTCCGAGGCAACACCATTTATAAACATCATGGATGGATGTGCGGTAATACTGTATGTACGGTAGCTTCAGCTACAAACAGTATACCGCGCTGAGCCAATCACGTCGAGCAATGTATTCTATTAATCAATACAAAGCTTGCCTGGATTGGCACAGGTTGTGTACATCGCTCGCCGTGATTGGCTCAGCTACTGTATGTAGCCGAAGCTACCTCGACATGCAGTATTACCGCACATCCAGCGGGCTGACAGATTAGTGAACTAAAGTTATACATTGTATACCCCGCGTATAAGACGACCCCCGATTTTCGGGGGATGCTTTTAAGTATAAAAAGTAGTCTTATACGCCAGCAAATACAGTAGGTATATATTTTAACTGTGCATTTGCTTGTTTGACTGTTTAAAGTTCTGCATTAACATATGCATTGTCCACAATTTATGAAAATACCCAAAATATACAGACAATCATTTCAACACACATTTGCTGAGGTGGAAACTCACCCTTGGCATCCATGTTTTTAATGTAGATCGGGGCAGTGTGAACTGAGGGACTCTGTGTAAAGGCCTGAACAGATAGACACATATAGTTATTTCACATAAGTTTTTATAATAAAAAGCAACTTGCTAAGTAAGAAACATTGCTAACGTTTTTTATACAAACATGTAAAAAGATCATCTTGAAGCAAATAATCATATTGGCATGTATTACTAGAAAAGGTGTGCTTATACATAATTTATAACTATATATGTACAGTATGTGGGGCAGCCATATTTGTTCATTACATTACATGCCAATAAATATATACCGTATTTTGCGGACCATAGGACGCAGGGAGGTCCGGCGCGCCTTATGGAGCACTCGACAGACTGTAGCTTCTGTCACAGCTTCTATGACAGAAGCTGCAGTTAGTGACCGCTGAGACAGGTGGCGCTGTGATTACAGCGCCACGGTCTCAGTGATCACAGAGAGCAGACGAAGAACGTCCGTTCTTCGTCTACTCTATGGTAATCTCGATCGTCGCCGCTGCTCGCTTTTAATACGAGTGATCTCATTAGATCACTCGTATTAAACGAGCAGTGGCTCCTACTGCTGAACTCGATCGCCGCCGCCGCTGCTCGGCTTTAATACGAGTGATCTCATTAGATCACTCGTATTAAAGCCGAGGAGTGGCGTGGGGCGTGGCTACGATGTGAAGCGGATCACACGTGTTTGGTGGAGCTCCGTTACCTTCCCTTCTCTCATCCTGATATTCCTCCGGCCTGACGAGATCCCCGTGCCTGAAAAGTTACCTGGCCTGTGCAGGACATACAGACACTCAGTATACCGGATTAACTTGTGGAGATAGCATGTTTACCATGTCCACAATCATGAATGAACAGGAAGTGATGTAGCGCACTTCCCATTCATTCATATTTGGGGACACAGTAAACATACTATGTCCTCAATTATTTGCAAACACTCAGCGATCACTGAGTGCTTGTACCTCGCACTCCATCCTGACTCGCTTTCACAGGAGGCTGAGTGAGTGATGCAGGGAGGAGAGCCCATCTCCTGTGACAGCCCTGACAGCGGTCACCACCACTTTCCTGATCTGTCACAGGAGGCTGAGCGGTGCGGGAGGAGAGACGCTGGCCGCTCACATCGCTATCCTCCCCCGTACGACTCGGCCTCCTGTGATAATTTCTCTCCTCCCCACTGGGACACCGAGCAGCGCCCAGCTGGGAGGAGAGAAACCAGGGATGCGCCGCTATTTCGGTGGAAAGATGGCACTTTTGGAATTTTGCCAAAAGTGCCAATTTTGGCCGATATGTTTTGGCAGACGAAATTTCAGAAAATCCAGAATAATAACAAAAACAAAACAAACAAAAAAATATATATACAGGTGAAACTCGAATAATTAGAATATCATGCAAAAGTAATTGCAGTAAGTGCTGCAAAAGGGGCCTAAATTAAGTACTGAGTACATATGCATGCTTGTACTTTTCAGAGGTCCGATATTGTTACATAGTTACATAGTATTTGAGGTTGAATAAAGACATTAGTCCATCAAGTCCAACCTATTAGGATCTCATTCTAGGAGTACCCGTACCCCTGTATATTACGGTCCCTTAAGAAATCGTCCAAAAGTTTCTTGAACAATTCCACATTATTTGCTGAAATCACCGCCTGTGGCAGTGAGTTCCAGACCCTAACTGATCTTACTGTGAAGAACCCCCTTCGCCCCTTGTGCTGGAATTTTTTTTCCACCAATTTTAGGTGATGGCCTCTAGTTTTTGTAACGGAGTTAATTTTAAACAGTTTATCGCTAATGTTGCTACCACCATTAAACATTTTGTACATGGAAATCATATCCCCCCTTAATCTCCTCACCTCTAATGTGAACATGTTTAAATTTAGTAGCCTCGTCTCGTAGCTCTGGTCCTCCATACCCCTAATTAGTTTGGTTGCCCTTCGCTGGACTTTTTCCAACTCAAGGACATCTTTTCTTAGTACTGGTGACCAGAACTGGACCGCAAGCTCAAAATGAGTGATGCACTAGTTTATAATACACCTGCTCAATGAGAGACACCTGAGCTCAATTAACCCCTCCCCCTAACAAGAGCACTGCAACCTGAGGGAGAAAAAAAAAAAGGGAACAGTTTAAAAAAAACTGACAGAAAAGGAAAAAGAGTTTTTAAATACTAAAAAAGGGTTCTATGTACTATGTTCTATGTACAATCCTTGTTTTATTGATTGCATGTAATAATCTACTTTTTTGAGGTTGTGGATTTGGGGTTCTTGGGGTTTTCATGAGCTGTAAGCCATAATCATCACAATTATGACAAATCACGGCTTGAACTATCTTGCTTTGCATGTAATGAGTCTATCTCATATATTAGTTTCACCTTTTAAGTTGCATTAGTGAAATAAATGAACTTTGCACGATATTCTAATTATTCGAGTTTCACCTGTACCTTTATATATATATGCACTTTTGGCAGCTGTTACAGTCTTGAAACTGTGCAAATAAGTCTCAATCAGCTTTGCACCTCTGGAAACAGCAATTTATTTAATTCTTATAAAACTGCTTCAGCTTGGTCAGGTTGCATAGGGATTGTGAGTAGTGAATGGCCTTTTTCAAGTCTTGTCACAAATTTTCTATTGCATTGAGATCTGGACTCTGACTTAGCCGTCCCATGACATTAACATAGTTGTTTTTAAGTCCCTCCTTTGTAGTGTTGGCTTTATGTCTGGGATCATTGTCTTGCTAGAGGAAAAATCTTTTACCAAAATCAGATGGGGCAGAATTATGCTAGTGAAACAGTGTCTGGCAATTTGCAGCTGTTTCACTTGCACAATTCTGCCTCATCCCATTCCTTTATAAGCAGTAAGCAACTGCTTCCCTGAGTCCACTTAAACATTTGAAAGCATTACTGAGCCCTGATGAAGGGAGAGAATGCTCCCAAATTTGTGGGCTGTTTTTGGATTAATTAAAGCTGTTTTGGACTCCCTATGAATTTGGTCTGGTGCTTCTTCTGTTGGTTTATGGTCTGAGTGATGTTCCTGGGCACCCATTTGAGGGTAGCCCTGTTTGTATGTGAGCCACCTAACCAGAGCCAGTTATCCTTCTGAATGACTGTTTTTTTTTTAACCTTTACTGTTCTATATGAATAAGCATTGCAGTCCCAATACCTCTTGAATGTCATAGACATGTATAGATGGATCTTCCAAAAACACATGTATTTATACTACAATCACTTGATTGAGTCCCGAGGACTACACTTAGGTGTTCTGCATTTAACTAATTATGTAACTTTGGAGAACTCTGCAATTGGCTGCCCTAGTGATGATTTAGGTGTATCAACTTAAAATGAGTATATACTTATACACTCAGTTATTTTGTGTGCTTTCATCATAATGAATTTACTTTAGTTACATTTTTATCTCACATTAAGGTGGAAGTAAACTGAAAAAGTGAAAATTCATTATGTTATAGGGAACATCTAGAAATTTTAATTGTGCCTAAGCAGCACCCTTAAAAATCTACTTTTCACTGGAATTGAAAAATAGCACCTCCTAGTATGTAAGTGTACCTAGGTACCCATGTGCCTACAGCCTTATAGCTGTATATCTGCAATTTGAGATTAAGGGCCCTGTCACACCATATCCAGTGCGTTCCGACACAGTCCGAGCCTGGAACGTACTGGATTGCATCGATCAGGCCGGGACATGTTCTGGGGTGGAAGGAGGCGTGGCGGAGCCATTCATGTCAATGGCACCGCAGGCACGCCCCCTGCTCGCAGTGCAATAAAAAAAAAGATATACGCAAGTTCTGCTCCCTGCTTTGTAGTGCTACACAGTGGTCAGACTTTACTACTCCTTCTCACACCCAAAGTCTAAAAAGTCTAAAAATCATCAAATTTATTAAAAACCATGCACTCTATTTATCAATAATATATAACAAGAGGTAAAAAAAAAGTCAGTGCACTGAGCTACAGAGAACATCATCTGGTGGCATACCTACAAATCTCTATAATTATTACAATAACACAAAAATAAAACAGAAAATTTGTAAAAATATAAGTGATAAAAAGGTAACACTGCAGTACATATTACTTTCCCTTTGAAGACTTTAAAAAGCTAATGCTAAGTTATGCTTTGCATAACTTACACACTACCATTAAAAACATCGTGAAGCAGGAAAACATTTCTCCTTATTTAAGGGGCATACTTGGAACTTGTTTTATTTGTAACATCTATCGAATTTTTAAAAATACATATTAAGTAGACCTTCCATGAAATAAAAGGGCTGACACTGCTGACCTGTTGAAAATGCTAGTTGCCAGACTGTTATGGTGAACCACTTGCCTAATCACTCCAGGCAGGTGGGCGTTTATAAACTGCAGCAGTCATGTTTTGGTATCATTTTAAACAGCCAGTGATGGCTGTTAAGATACAGGCAATCCGGCTACATCGCTTGTACCATGCGGCAGGATGTATGCCCCTCCGCCGCCGGCTACCCCGGGCTCCGCTCTTGCCCAATGCGGGCCTCGGACTGGCGGGTCTCCTCTCATCGATCGGAGAAAGGTCAGCAAGCTTCTAGCGGCTGATCCCTCCTCCAATCACTAGACCCGGAAGTGATGTGTATTACATGCACATTCTCTGGCTCTTGTAGCCAGGAGAAGAAGCTGGTGAAGCAGATTTCTGCTTCATAAGCTTCTTTGGGGGTCCCTAGGTGACTTTGGGGGTCTGAAAGACCCCTGATGTCTCCATAAAGAGGACCTGTCACATCCTATTTGCTATTACATAGGAGACTTGTTAGCCCTCTATGTGATAGCAATAAAGTTAATTGTAAAAAAAAAAATTAAAAAAATTAAAAATTAAGTAACAGAAAAAAAAGTAAAAACATTTTTGGAAGTGCCCCGCCCCCACTTACACTCAAATACAAACATGCGCTGGGTGCGCCTCTGTACATAATCGAAAATTGCGCCATACATGTTACATATCGCCACCAACATTGTGAGTGAAAACAATAATTCTAGGGCCATCAATCACTGTTAACACTAAACTGATGAACAAACTTTTAAAGCGTCGCCTATGGGAAATTTGGGGTATTGTAATTTTTTGCGGTTTCACGGACGCACGCAATTTTAAGGCTTGACATGTTTGGTATCTATTTACGTGGCGTGACCCCGTCTTTTATATTTTACAAATAAAGCTAAATGACTTCACTAATATTGGAAGGGCTGAAAGCAGCCTGCTAAAGCCATGACAAGGGGAGGCTGGGACCTCCCTGTCACAGCCCTGAAACAGCTTCAGTAACCTGAAGACTAATAATTGCCTTCCCAAGTCAAAATAGGTTAATCTTTTTCTTGTGGATTTTCCAGTCCTCAGTTATGGTGATATTATTCACACACATGTATGACTCACAATGGTCAGCATTTCCATCATCTCTTTCATGTGGTCTTCAGCTTGTTGTTTTTGAGCTAATACAGCACCCTGTAGCATTTCTTCCTTCCGCTGTAAACATTTTGTAAGCTCTTCTATTATCTCAGCATTGCCAGTATTTGAGTTTGCAAGAAAGCAAGTCGTCAACTCCTGTAATAACAGGTGTCAAATTAACACCCTCATTTTCCAGGTTATTATAACTATAAGCATTATACTTGTTTACTGTACATTTTCAAGACGTTTAACACTACACGTAGAAGGAACTGCTAAAGATACACACTCATTTGTTTTTGAGTTTTAATAAACTGCAGAGTTCTACATAAGGAATAATACTATAACTGCTATATATGCTTTTATTACAAGTGCATAGCAACGCTTCAATTTTTTTCTCACCTCAGACTCCTTTTCCTTCTCTTGAAAAGATCTCTGCAACTGCAGTATTACGGACTCCTTCTCACTCAGAGAACATCTGTATTTTTCCTCTGTTTCCTGTTTTAACCATTGCAGGTCTTTGTAAGCAACAGAGATTTGTTCCAGTTCCAAATCCTTGGCTTTCACAAGATTGTCCAAACTCTGAAACACATTTTTGGAGTCATTAAGTTGTAGGCTGCCCTGTTTCCAATCCCCCTGTCAGCCTCATATTCATCTGTCCCCCATTCAGCAAGATATAGCCCACAAAACCACAACGTTGCAATGTTTTCTATCTGGAAAACGTACACTTTGCTCATTTAGTAGTCTTAAATTGATAATTAGGGTAAAGTTTAAGAAAAAATATATAAACTGTGAAGTGTTTTATTTCTTCACACATGTTTAAGCTTGACATTTTACCTTGGCAACTAACCTTAGTTAAATCACTTTAGTTAAAGTCGGCAATTGCCACACACTAACGCTGGGAGAAAGGGGAGAAAAAGAACCAGGAATTTTTCCAACCCCCGTAGCCAAATTGAGCAGTGGAGGGATGAATTAAAAATAAGTGTGTGTTTCTGGAGGGACCACCACACATAGACATCTTTCAATGTTTTCTTTCAATTATTTTTTTATTTACATATTGCACGATTCCAAGTTTGAACCATCCAGTGTAAAAAAATTAGAATATTTTACAGTTACATTTTAATGTATGTAGCCAGCTTCCATCTTATTTTGGGAAGATTACACAGATATACTGTACCTATAGAATTGTTAATCACTTCACACAAGGATTAAGATTGCAGTTCTTTGTCACAGCGCCACTTTAAAATGGAGCATGGAGCATTGCTAAGCCAAGGGGATGAACTGATGAGTCTCTGGGTTTGTCAGAACTATTAAGTGATCACAAAAAGAAACTGTGAGGCCTAGACTTATCACCTATTCATAATGTAACATGGGCGCAATGGAAGCCATGTTGTTCCCTTATTCTGTAAAAGAAAGGTGAATTTAAGTTCATGGTTTCTAGACAATGAGTCTACATATCAACCATTCTCAGTCTTTAACATCATAGATTCCCAGGTTATAAGTTTGGGGTCTAGTTAGACCAGACAATAAGAAGATTAAGGTTGACAATGAACCAGACTGTAAGATAAATCAAGATGCCATTTCTAAGGCTGGACAAAGGACAAAGAACTATTCACCATCTTATTTTTTTCCCTTTTTAATATATAAATAGAGTTCACATTGAAAACGACCTTTTATATAGTATTCTTATTTGATAGGATAAGTATAACCAATAATTTTAATTGTATTATTATTACATAAGATATACAGTATAAATATTTGCTTCATTAAGTAATTTTGTTTTCATAATGCAATATTCAATATGTATATCCTATATATATTAGTTGTATTTACTAATTGACATATACTAGTAACATCGTATTTTCAACAAAAAATGTTTATAATGATCTCATTATTACATTATAATGTCTGTAATCAGTATGAAAGAGTTAAAGTAACCACATTCTTAGCACAAATTACATCATCATCAGATTTTTTTTTTCTTTCTCTCCTTAAACTTTCTATACTCCATTGTCTTAAGGAGATAGATGTTTATTGAATGTCTGGAAATGACAGGTTAGTCCCTATCTCTTAAATTGATGTATCTATACTAATCCTGGGTAAAGAGGTAATTTAATTACACGGTACAGAAGTTTTAAAGTAGAGTCCAAAAATATTCCTAGATCAATATTGCCTACTTCAGGTAATTGTGGATATAATTTGAAGTAAAGTTAGAAGAGAAGTGACATCATAGTTAGAGGTACGATAGTATCTTCTCCTCCCAAACCTTTTAAAGCTTTGAGAAATTTGGGAGAGGGGGGAAAAAGGAAGAAAGGCAGAATGAGACTAGAAGAGAATGTGAACACAGTACTTCTGTCCAAAAATTGACCAAGACTGAACATCACTGTCTGAGACCAAAGAATCTCCAGATTAGTAGCAAAGTATAGATGTGCAACTATCTGTAAGAAATTTAGGTTAAACTTATATTCAGATTAAATCATTTGATCTGACCATTTGGTTATATAGTGTTAGCATCAAAAGTGAATTAAAGATATTTTATCTGCAGTGAAAATTATCTCTAATTTCAATTTTGTGATTAAGGAAGCTAAGATGAGCTCCTAGGCAATGGTTTAGCACACTATATAGATATATAAAAATTAAATAGTTTGCCTGATATTTGTCTTTTACCTCAGATAGATTCTAGACTAATTAGCGAATCATGTGCGTAAGAAAAGTATGCCATATTGGTTCATGTGTAGTAAGGATTTTGAGCTCTAAATATCTGTTTGGTGGGAGAAGTCACGTGTTAAATCTGCACAGTCTGTTGTCATCATCCCATACTGAAAGTTTCACTGGCTACATTTCCCTAGAGATATGGTCCTGTTTTACTAATATTTGGAACAATAACCTGTGGTTTTAATTTCAAAGTGTTATACTTGCCGGTAAATTGCATTGCATATTTTATATCTTATTATTGTCACCAAGAATATTTTGATCATTAATTTGCACTGATTTTATGGGTTATATATTTATATATATTTATATATATATTCACACAATATTTGTGTTTAAATTAGAGCATATAAAGAACTTAGATAATCAGTTAGTTTATGAAGAGTAGTAGTGAATCTCCTTAATTTCAGATCCCTGCCTGTTTTCATAAATAAAATACTGATTTTAATCAGGTTGCTAATCCTGCTAAAGAGTGCTTTACTTCCCCACTCAGCAACAGATCACTGCAATAGTGTTTACCTCTTGCTGATAATATAAGCAATTGATTGCTTTTTTAAGTGCTTTGTTTCCTGTAGAGGTGCATGAGCTAGATGACGTCCCCTTAACCTCACTCTTATGCAGTTAAAAGGCCTTGTTGATTATATTTGTCGTGCATATCAGGGGCTGCGCTATTAAGCTAACAGCAGAGTTGGGAAAAATTACCGGAAAATGTGCATCTTTTCCTCACTGAAACATACAAAATACATATCCACGTCTCCTACAAAATTAAAGCTCTATCTATTTTGGAAACACAAAAAGATGTTTGATTTTTTGGGAGAGGTTACTAGTGTAAAAAAGTTATATTGTGGGAAAACTAACATCTCCAAATCCTGTAAAAAAACACTTGGATTTAGAGGTTCAAGGAAACTGAAGAGCTACTTAAATACATAACTGCATCACTGATTTTGGGTCAATGGTATTTTTCCTAAAGTTTATAGGATTTAAAAAAAAATGTTTTGTACCTATTTTTTTTGCAACACTTACCTGTTTTGCGATCCAGCGCTGGAGTGCAGTCACCATGGCCAATTAGAAGACAGCTCTCCTGATTGGCACTGACTTCAAATGGCAAAGTGTTGCGTGACTTGGCATTCAAGTTACACATTCCTACACCAAATCTGAGCCCCCTATGCCTCCAGTGTCTGCTTCCAGTGACTGTGAACTCTCTGCACTCCAATGACCCTTGCACTCCCATGCTTCCATTGGCCCCTGCACTCCTGTGCTTCCAGTGACCCCTGCTCTACTGTGCCTTCAGTTACTCTGTACCCCAGTGGCTCTCTGACCCCTCTTGTGCCTCCAGCAACCCCAGTGTCTCCAGTGAACCCAGCTTTCCTGTACCTCCAATGGCTCTGTGACCCCTAAGCACTTCCATGTCTCCAGTGTACCCAGTGACCCCAGCGATACTATGGGGGTGATTTACTAACCTAAACACATGCGCGCACCAGGTGCGTGTGATTTTTACACAGCAAAGCGTATTTATCAACCAAAAAGTCTCTATAAGCATGTTTCCACTAATGCCATATATGGAAAAATCATGCACATGATGCATATATAATGCTGCTTCACAGTTTAGACAAAAATGGTTAGCTCATGCATTTACATTCCTGCATTCATCAACGCAAGCAACACAATGTAGAGCTAATTTACACAACATCACCTTGCAATTCAGGGCAGGGCTTTGCACAACACACCTGCTGGGTGTGTACACACTACAAAGGTGTTTAGATTCCACCCATAGATCATGCTGGGAGGGAACACACTACAGAGGTGTATACATGTTCGTGGTGTGTTTATAAGGTTAGTAAATCAACCCTTATGCCTCTATTACCCTCTACTCGGTGACCACAGAGCATCCTGCGTCACACATGACCCCAGAGTACCCTGTGACTTACAGGCAGCGCAAAATAGCATTGAAAACCTGCTAAACCTGTAGCCCAATATTGTGCATGAACTGGAAACCGCTAGTGCTCAGGAAAAGCTCTGTCTGCCTAAGTAAGCAATGCATATACCACAGGTTATGGCACACAGCTTCAAATTCCGATCCTTTATTAAATATTAGATGAACACATCACAACATAAACCTGCTAACGTGTTTTAGCCACACATGGGCTTAGTCATAGCTACACATAGCAGCATGTGACTTCCACTAACCCAGTGGCGTCCCGAGGCTGGGTGACACCCGGAGCGGTGTCCGAATGCCCCCCCGACGAGACGTCACCGCGCATGCGCGTGACGTCACCACGCGTGTGCGTGATGACGTCATCGCGCACGTGCGGCCGTATTCCGATACCTGCCGGCGACCATCTTGGTGATGGACGCCGGCAGAGAGAGGAGGGGACAGTCACCCGGCGGGACCCCTCCTCTCTCCTGATACTGTTGGGCGTTCGGTCCATGACCGAGCGCCCGACTTTTCAAGAGGGGGGTGACACCAAAATGACTGTAAGGCCTTTTAACTGCCCTCCAATGGTGTCACCCGGGTGAGGGCCGCACCCCCCTTGTGACGCCACTGCACTAACCCCAGGGTATCCTGTGTCACACAGTGACCCCAGAGCATCTTATGTTATCCTGTGACTCTAGTGCTCTCTGAACCCAACGGTAACACCTGCATCTCCACTCAGCCTCGGGTACACTTCTGTAACTGCTGGACAGTCCCTCTTGTGGATACAGACCTGTCTGTTACATTTTTTACTCTGCATTGAAAATCAATGTTAAAAATAAACATTTCATACAGACATGACAAAGACAGACAGAGATAGCACAGAAAAAGCAGATTGTCTCAATTTTCTCTCTCTCAGTTTGAAAGACACCGAAGGGTTTCACCTAACCAAAACAAGGCAGAGAAGGGGAAGGAGGGAGGATAAGTAACTCCTCTTATTCAGTTGTGTGTGTAATTAGGAACTTGAACTATTCAGGTCTAAAAATAAGAGGGTTTTTTTTCAACAGAGCAGCTAAGGATAATCAGTAAAATGTAAGCAAGAAAGTAAAGTGCTTCAGCTGATGACCGGAGGTGTAACTATAAAACATCTATATGCAACATTTCATGTTTTCCATATTTTTTAATTTTAGTTTTTCCGTTCTGAGCATTAAAAAAAGTTAAGAATGAAAAATACACAGGAAAAATCATTTAAGGCCAGCATTGTTAAATGAGGGGGAGTTCAAAATAACTTTGCACTGCCCATCAAAACTGGTCTATTTCATTCCCTTTTTAATTATATATATTCAAAACAGTAGAAATGTTTAAACCTCTGCACAAAGATCGGAAGAGGCATACTCAACACCTTTTAAAACAAAAGTATAGGTATAAAAAAACGTACATTTATTGTTTCTTCATTTCCAGAAAGAACGTTAGTCAGCCTTTCTATGTCTTGCTCTCTCTCCCGTATAATCCGTTTTAGCTGATGCACCTCATTCTCTTTGTCTTCAAGAGCAAAGAATTTGCTTTCCACTGCCAGCTGTTTTATATTAAAAGAAGAGTAATAAGTAAATTAAATTAAGTAAGGACAATAGCTCCAAACTAACAGCTATACAGGAAACATACAGGAGTGTAACATTTAGCTTGATTCACGTCTGTGCATTGTGACGGTGCATGGTAAAACACCCATTACCAAATCGCATGGTAATATACAAAACTCTGCCTCAGTGAATTGGCATCATCACCTCTGTGCACGGAGCATGGAGATTTCCTCGGAAGAAATAAGGCTGAAGCCCAGAAATGTCAAACCAGGAAGTAGCAAAGTAATCTTACTGGCTAGCAGTAGTGTTTGCACTACAAGAATAATGGGAAAAAATTACAAATGATACAGAAAGCCAAAAACCTTTTGGATAAAACGGACAGCATTTATGTTTGCCTGCATAACTTTGTGACAAAGAAGCTTATACAAGCAAAATGATCTAGCAAGCTGCTTACAAAAGTTCAGCCCCACTTTCCAGCTATTAAAACCAAGAGCAATGAACTACTGGCCCTTTAAGCCATATAACCTGACATATTTGATATGTCATTTTTTAACAAAGTGCTGAGCAGACAACACCAAGTTGAATAAATAAAAGTTATATATAAAAAATGTATAATATGTTATCATTCAGTCTAGATCTGAATTCTCCTCTCTTTGTGAAAAGTGATATTTGTTCTACACCTAAATTAATGGGGGTGTTTTTTTTCACTTAGGATCTACAGAAACATACAATACTGTGCAAACGTTTTAGATACTCTAAAAAAATGCTATAAAGCAAGAAAACTTAAAAAGATTGTATGAATATTTTTTTTGGCTGTCTTACGTCCTTCTGTCTCTACAAGTAACCCACGCAGGCTCCATGATATTGAAGTTAGGGCTCTGTGAGGATCATACCATCTGTTGCATGATTCCCTGTTCCACTTTGACTGTAGATAGTTCTTTTTATTTACAGGCATTGTCATACTGCAGAAAAATGCCTCCACGATGGTACTGAATACTGGATTAGAATCTACCTGTATTTCATAGGCATAGGGATACAAACAGTTCTGGCAAATCACCAACTGCATTTGCAGAACTGCAGCCACAAACTTTCAGGAAACCTCAACTGCACTGCAATGTTGCCTACAGACATTCACCCATGTACCATTATCCAGCCCTTTAGCAGGCATACTGCTTTCTTCTTTGAGCCACAATATGTAAATGTTGACAGTTTAAAGCACCTACTGACATTTTTGTATACCACAGTCTTTGTGTTTTTAAGAGTGATGATTTGATTGGTTGTGCCTCCAGCTCAGAGGAATTACTTTTTTGGTTGAAACTCTTCTATGAAGACCATTTCTTATAATCACACAATCCATGAGGGGTAACATGAACATTCAAATCTAACAGTGAGACTGCATCCTACCCCAAAATGTATATTTGGAAAAGGACACTATAAAGTTCTGAAGTTCAACCTTTTGGCCTCCTGATACTTACTTTGCTATCTTCAGGCCTCAGCAGGCAGTAGTTAATGTTTTACCTGCCCAGGTATTCACTCACCTAAATAGACCTAAATAGCATGTGTTGGAACAGTATATGAAGACGCGTTACTGGACTTAATTTCTCCCACTTGTCCCAGTTGTTTGGGAGACTGTCTTCCTTGCTGCAGTTTGGGTACTTTTGGCATATTTATGAAAGATGGAAAGTGGAAGCATAAAAATAATAGGCAATTTGGGTTAGCAATTTAAGTTTTGCAGTCACTATACCAGGCAGTAACATGGAGGCATGGGCTCAGTTTCTCAAACCAGGCTTTATTGTTTACTGTATAATGTATCTCCTATTCTCAGACATGATTATACTCCCAAATAGACAAGAATTAAGATGGGATTATAGCAGGAAGAGCTCAATATTGGATTATTCAAGACATAAGAATTTAGGGGCTGATGCCGCCAATAGTATATCTAATATATCACTTTAAGGTGGACATACCCTTTAATCTAAGTTCTCTGTAGTCCCCTTATGCAGCCACAAAACAGACTGTTGTATAGGGGGTCAGTATCTGCTTTTTTGTATGTAGCGGCAGCAAGGGGGCGCTTCACTCTCAGCAGCAGCTGTGGTCCAGGATCGCCAGGTTAGAGACCAGGGAGAGCAATAGACTTACGCAGTACAGCAATGTACGTAATTTTACAGTCCGTCATTTATTTACCTCTAAAGCAGTATCTCGGTCTCTGATTCTCTGCCGTAATTTTTCCAGAGTATGTTCATTACCACCTGGAATTTCTTTCAAGCTCTGTTTATAGCTTAATACATCCATGTATTCCTAAATGTGTAGGGAGAGTCATGTAAACATTAATCTGGTTAGAGATTGGGATCATATTTTATATATAAAGTAGAAGTAAAAGACTAAAAGTGCCAATAAACAATTTATATATACAGGACAAGGTATCTTAAATGCATGAGATTTAGCTATAAAAGGGTAATTGAGATATTAATTGACTCATTGGACCACTTTGTTCAACCTGTTCATTGAACTGGTAGTTCAGAATAGTAGCGTTACATTTGGACTTGGATGGAGATTAGGATTTTTAACATCTGAGCTTACTGTAATATCCAACCTACTCTAACATACAAAATAACTAGTCCACACATTCTACAATTAGATTGCATAATTTACTGAACTGAGAGAATTCTAAAGAAATCTAAAAGTTGTGAGTGTTCAGATCAGATTCATTCTATTCTATTCATAGAATTTGGAAGTAGTAGTAGTATGAAGTAATACCGTGTTTCCCCGAAAATAAGACACTGTCTTATTTGTCTTCTGGCTCAAAAAAAAACACACTAGGTCTTATTTTCGGGGTAGGTCTTATTTAATTTTTTTTTTATGTACAACAATCCACACTTATTCATGTAGAAAAGTCTACATGTATTCATGTACAAAAATATGGTGATCAGGGCAATCAGGGGTGCCATACCTTTCCCAGAGCAATTTGCTAACCAATCGCTGGCCAGAATGAGCGAAGCGCACTTTCACTATCGATTTCTCACAAGCGGCGTGCATTTGGTATCACTCCGCCTGTGACAGGAGCCGGCGCTATAGAGGAGGCATCTTCTTATGCGACTCTGCTCCCTCCGATGCCACCTCGCTTCCTCTAGGGCTGGCTTCGTTGGCACCACTGATTCTCTCCTGCGGCTCTTCCATTTCCCCCTTATGCCACCACCGGCCCCGGGATGGTCACAACTAGGTCTTATTTTCAGAGTAGGTCTTATATTTTAGCAGTTCCAAAAATAGTACTAGGTCTTATTTTCAGGGTAGGTCTTATATTTTAGCAATTCCCAAAAATAGTACTAGGTCTTATTTTCAGGGTAGGTCTTATTTTCGGGGAAACAGGGTAGATAAGTAAATTCTAAAGCTGGCCACACGTTTCAACATGCTTGTACAGTCTCGTGAGGTTTACTAACTACGTAGGATCTACCTTACTAGATATAATTGTAAAGGCACTTAGACTACAAACTTGATTGTAAAACTAAAGGAAGTGACACAGATTGAAACATGAGGTGCCATTTTAACTCTAGGCACACACCTTACAATTTCTTCTTTCAACCAAATTTCTTACATTTTGATTGTAAGACATGACCATTTTTGTACTGTCCTAACATCAGATTCTAAAGTGTGTTACCATAAGGGATGCACCAATACCGTTTTTTCCATATCGAGGACGAGTACCGATATTTTTTTTCCGGTACTCGCAGATAAATACCGAAAGTCACATTAACCTCCCTGGCGGTATGATTATGCTGGATTTTAGCATGCCAAAGCGGTACATTGTTTTGCATGGCAATTTATGGTTTTATATTGCAGGCCTGTAATTCTTAGTAAATCTTAGGAATAACTCACCTAAATCTGTCCAAACAAGAGTCCAGTAGACATCCCGGGTATGATAAAGAATCGTCGCTGTGGTCACTTACAGTGTCTGATGACGAATTTCCCAACGAAGCGCTATCACTCAATTCTGCAAGTGATTCTAATTCACTATCGCTGTTTTCTACCTGGTCTAAAACCCCTTTTGACCTACAGGGACGCTTTTCTCAAGTTTCAGGTCAGAAAGAACAGTAAAAGTGCAGGCAGGGCACTGAACAAAGCTCTAGGGACAAAATTGAAGTGAAATGGTTTGATACATAAATGTAATTATAGCAGATTACATTGTATTGTGTGTATTCTGTGTAAATGTCATGTTTTCACTTTTGAATTTCCCGCCGGCTCCGCCCCCCGCTGTGACGCCCGAAAACTAAACTGAAAGCCGAATGCCGGCATCGCTTTTGGTACTGAAAATGAACCCCGCGCCACACTCGGGAATACCGCCAGGGAGGTTAACCACTTGAAGTTCGCGGTGTTAAACCCCCTTCCCATCCAGGCCATTTTTCAGTATTCAGCACTGCGGTACTTTGACTGACATTTATTCCGTCATGCAACGCTGTACTGAAATGAATTTTATACCCTTTTTTGGGGACACATAGAGCTTTCTTTTGGTGGTATTTAATCACCACTGTGGTTTTAATTTTTTACCATATTAAGGAAAATTTACAGAAATGAGAAAAAAAAACAGTTTTCGCTATATTAAATCGTTGGGTAAAAAGACACCAAACATGTCAAGCCTAAAAATTGCACACGTGCGCGAAACCTCAAAAAACTACATTACCCAAAATTGGCCATAGACGACGCTTTAAAAGCTTTTACCGCTCATCAGTTTAGTGTTATCAGTGATTGATGGCCCTAAAATTATTGCTCTCACTCCGACGTTCGCGGCGATATGTAACGTGTGTAGCGCAATTGTCGTTTCCCGCGCGCTGACGCATCTGACGCACATTTACGTTTATATGTGCGTAAACGAAGGGGGGGGACTTAAACATTTTGGGTTTTTTTAAACTTTTTTTATTTGTGACTTTTATTTTATTAAACTTTTTTTATTTATATATATTTTTTTTACACTTATTGTTATTGTTATTA